TATTATTTCCGATACTCATTCTTTCAAATCCTGCTGATAATTTTTGCAGTGCTGCAAACTAGCACCATTCAAAAACCTGGCCATAGCCAAAAATGATGCACAAAAACTGTCTGATTTCCAAATGAAGCTAAAGGGGACAAGTACTCTTTTTCAGTTCCCTCAGCAAAAGCATTGATTCTTATTATTAAGAACAGTAAGTTGTAGAGTATGCTCAGATCCTGAGCTTTTTTGTCGTTGTTTGTTCAAATAAAAACCATCTTTAAATTTGCAGGTTAAAATTAGTTTTAGTTTTGAAAGCTGAAATTATAAATACAAAAGAAAAACCATCGAACATTCAGCTGTGCCTGTTAATCATTTAGGGTGCTCTACAGCAATCTTTGCCTGTAATTCTGGAAGGGGAAAGGTGTTCTTGTTTGGAACTATCAGTGCCCTGGGACCTGTGATTTAAATTGGCATAGGATCTTGGGAGAGAATTAGCCTTTTATGTTTGAGTTGTTAACAATCTGCTGGCCTTTTCTCTCTAGCACCAATGGCTGGTAACTGTTTCTCTCTTGGTTTTGTTTGCTTGTTGGTTTGTTTTTGTTTGTTTGTTTTCTATTAAGGATGTAGATAGCAGCCTAAACTTTTTTTCAGTAACTGTCAAGTGTTATCTGCTACAGTAAAGAACAGGCATATTGCAGCTATTACAATTGACTGTATTCTACTGATTGTGAAGCCAAGCCATATTATAGGATGGCAAGATCTCTTTTTATTGTCTTAAGTTGCCTGTGTTTTTTAACTTGTCTGCCCCTCCTCCTCCTCCCTCAAATCCCCCTCTTTTAGAAACAAAGACTTGTTTGTTCCTTCTCTGCTTGTGAGGTCTTTGCAGCCACCACTGTGTGGGTGCAGAGCCCCTTATTTAAATGTTTTACATACCCATAGAAGGTAAGGAACAGGATGCATCAGAAAACTGGTAAGTCCTAACTCTGATAGATAAATGAAGCTCTTTACCTTTGAATTCAGAGTACTTAAAAAGAGCTGTGCGTGTCAGGATCATCACAAACCCATGAGGTGTGGGGAAAAAATAAAATGCTTATCTGAGATCACATTGATAAGCGTATTCTTTAGAGTGCAGATTTCTGCAGTCATGTCCTCAGTAAGTAATGGATAATTGAGAATTTTTAAAAAACCAAACCACAAAACAACCTAAAACCAAAACAAACCAAAAAAACCACCCCTACAACAACAACAAAAAAAACCTTTAAAACCCTCTGGTTTTTCTTGTCACTTGAAACAAGATGTGTTTTCCCTCTTTTCATTAAATATTTTGTTGGAAAATTACATTCTTCTGTTTCCCTTGAAGATAGCACACTTGTGTAATCAACCAAGACGGTGGAAAAATCATTCAGTGGTATTACTGTTGCTTTTTTTGCACCGACTCTTCACTTGGATGTGTTGTTAAGTCAGTAAAATTCATTTAGCAATGTCTTCTTTTAATGTCCAAACTTTAAGTTTAATTTCACAGTTAAAAGTAATTCCCTTACATGAAAAATATCTCCACCGTCTGTTCTGAGGACAGTTTAAAACCTTGTCAGTTTGAAGTCTTTTGCACTTGCATTCTTGAAATAGTAAAAATGCTCAGAAAAATCCTTTCAATGGATTCCTGAATAGGAATTTAGAAACTAGATTTTTAGGTTCAGTTTCTGAAGAGTTACCAAATCATATAATTAAATTTCCCTCCCGTATTTATTGGTGAATATTGAGTACCTGAAGTGTCAATATCTTACAATATTCCTGTTTTAGATACACTTTTAGTTAGAAATGTTACTTTCAAAATGGACATTAGAAGGTATTTCAGGGTTCTAAGATGAAATTAAAAACATCAGATAAACATAATTTGTTTCTTATAGTTTTAATTGCTGAGTCAGTAAATGGGAAGAATGGAGCAAACCGTGATCAGAGAGAACAGGAATAATAAAAGCAGCTGTCAGAAAGATACAGGTATACAAAGTATGAAGAACTTGGCATGAGAGAAATTATTTTGAAAGCTGCGTATTGGTGGAAAAGAGAGGTAGGGAAGCAATACTCGTATGGTGCCTGCAGGAAAAACAAATTCCTAACATACTGAAGGGATGTTAGTGATATCATGCTTAAGTGTTTAACTAAGGTTAGAAACTGTTAAATTTGTATGAGGTTATCTGTAACATGACTTGGCTCTCATGAGGCATGAGGCAGGGGCTCTGAAACTGTGGTTACAGAATTGGAGACTGGACCACAAAGGCAGCCTCTTTAACTAAAGAAAATTGACATTCCTCAGTTTTGGATGCTTAATTTTTACAAGCTGGATAGTTCGCTTTCAACTTAAAAGTGCTTCTTTCAGGTGATTGTAATTTTCTAACCTTTGTCCCTCTTTACTTTCCACTGTAATTGACCTTCTGTCGTGTTTAATAACGGGGTTTGAATCAAGGAACTTCTGAAGGATAGCACAGACTTCTGTTAACAGCAGGAAAAGGCTGTTGTTTTCTGTTGTCCCCTGCTAACGCCTTCATTGCCCACCTTTAAGGTGAAAGAGGGTAAGATATAAAAAGCAAAAGGCATGGTCCTGGTTCCAGGCTCCATAGGATTCTGGGTGAAAAGAGAGAAAGGAGGAGATATGTTCCCCACTCCAGTAGTATTGTGTCTAGCTTGCTAGTCTAGAGGCGCTAGGTGAGCTGCCTTTCTTTTTGCGTTGCTCTCTCTAGCTTTAACTTTGCCCTAATTCTGAAAATATAGGTAGTCTAATTGTTGTCAGTCTTCCAGCAGAGATTGCCCAGTGGAGGTCCTGGAGCTTGTAATTACAGTTCCCTGCTCACATCCTTGCAGGACAGCTGTGGTGCTGTTGAAACTTTTGCTTAACAGTTTCTGGTGTCTTGGGGTGTATGAACCTTCTGTGTGCATTCAGCAGAGGAAGGACCTGTCCTGTCTCTCCCTGTTGCTGGCCCAGGGACCACAGCTCCCAGCGCAAAGCTGGTTGATGGTCTCATCATGGCTGCCTTCTTCCTGAAGTTCAGTTTTGATAGTGAAGCGGTGCTGGATATTTCGTAAGATCAACTGCTTGATTTTAAGCTTTAATGCATGGCAACGTCATCTTCCCACTATGTTTTTTTTCCCCAGCTGGGTCAGCATGGGGCTTGCAGGTTGGAGTGGAGCCTCCAGCCCTCTGTTGTTTCTATTTGGTATTGGGATTCAGTTTCTATTGCTATTCCTACTTCACCTATTGACTTACCTTTACAGGAAGTTTTATCATGTTTGTGATCATATGTATGAAGCTCTCTCACAAGTAACTCCATAAAAGATTATTTCAAATTATTTCAAGCTCTTTAACACTTCATTTTAATTGGACTTGACTCATAAAAATGTGACCCACCTGTCTATTACGCTATTGACTTTGCTGGGCCTATGGAGCTGTTGAAAGTGTAGACTGGAGAGTTGAGTCTGTAACTGGTTTTGACTTTTTTTCTTTTCTGTTCTCGTTGCAGTAAGCATGTGGCATTTCTTCTTCATATGTTATCTCTCAATGGAAAGATGAGCTGTGGCAAGGGGAAGAGGGAGCAAGGCTGTGAAGCAACAGCCATTTTTACTGCTTTTATGAAATAAATATATTTAGGCTTTTTTAGAATAGAAGAAAAGCACTACTGTAGCTTAAGTTGAACACTCAAAAGACAGTGGAGACTGAAGTGCTTTTCAGAGAAAATATTGTATCGATTCTTTATGAGATAATTCACCTTTCTTATGATAGTTAGAATTGTTAGTGTTCCAGGAATCCTCTGTATATGATGAAAACATTAATTCAAACTAATACAACAGATGGTTTTCTTTGCACTAAATCAGCCTGTCATCCTTAAAGAAGCTTGCTCCCTTTTTTTTTTCTTTGGTTCCCATAAACCATAATCCTCATTCCTAGGAAAAATAAAATCCCTACCACTCTCCCATCACTGCTTCAGCAAACACATTCTGCAGCATATTGTGAATGTTTACAGATTCAGGCTGTCCCAGAGAAGATGGAGAGCTAATTCCAAAACTGAAAGCCCCTAGAAATAGTGCCTTTGTAATACATTCAGCCTTTCCCAGCCCTCTCTTTCGCTATGGGAACTCCAGTGCCTCTGTTGACTTTAACCATGCTGGTCTCATGTCAGGGAAAAATCAGGCCTGTCAAGTAGATGCATCCCAGTCATGCATTATTTTATAAAATAAAATTGTCTTAGGTCTTGCTTTTATGGGAGAAGGGAAGACGGGTTCTCGCTGTGCATTAGACGTACAAGATGACACTTTTTCTTTTCCGCATCCCAGAAAAGATGCATCACATGCTTCTGTGGGTTAAAAGAAAATGAAGCACTAGCAAAATGTTTCTTATGTTGATGGCAGTATTTTTGACTGTGTAATTCATCTGCCATTTCTATACCAGTTCTAATTTTCCATGTCAAGATGCCCTAAATGGAGTCTGTAGCACTCAAAACTTGATGTGAGAAGGATGTGAATGATTGTTGCATGACCTGCACTGCGTTGGGAAGAATGGTAGTCTTTAAGTGAACGTAGTTTGATACAAGTGAGATGATCTGTTTTGTCATTCTATGGGTTCTTGAGTTTAATGATTCTAAGATTTCGCATGAATACGAGAAGTGATTTTGTATTATTTGTGTCTAAATTGAGAGTAGTTTAGTAGGAAGAGAGAGGTCCTTCTAATTAAACTTGAAATATTTTACTACCACTTTTGAATTTTTCACCAACTTACACATTTAAATGTTTTCAGAAGCTTTTAGAAGTAGTATGTACTCTTAAATATGAGACCGTTGCATTGATTTCACAGGAATAGCACATGTGAGCATACATTTCACACTGAACATCAGTGTAGCTGCATGTTTTGTACTGTCATGGCTTGTAATTTTATAAAGTCTTTAATATATGCCTTCTAAGGATAATACTTTCCTTGCATGTATTTGTCTGAATTTCGTTTTTAAATGTTTATTGTTTTGGTCTCTCAGCCATGAATCAGCGAATCAGCCAAAGTGCCCCAGTGAAACAGCCACCCCCTCTGGCTCCTCAGAGTCCCCAGGGTGGTGTGATGGGTGGGAGTAGCTCCAATCAGCAACAACAGATGAGACTTCAGCAGCTGCAGATGGAGAAGGAAAGGCTGAGACTGAAGCATCAAGAACTGCTGCGGCAGGTGAGGCCACAGGTTAGACACCTACTTCCACTATTTCTTTTGTACGTTGTGTTTTGCTTTGGCTGAGTTGTTGTTTCAGTGAGTGTTAAAGACACTGTACAAAAAGCTTTGAGATCTGAAAATGTCTGAATTCATTCTGTTAGTTATATCAGCTTGGTAGTGAAAGCATCTGCCTTACCAGACTGAAGGATTTTGCTTTCCTCCCTCATTCCTCTCTCTAACAAAACTCTCCGAGAACAGGCTTCTTCACTGTTAGGATGACATCATGGACTGTTGATCTGATTGGATATTCCTCTAGAGAACATATTTCGTATTCATTGAGTTCTGAGTCGTGCAAAAAGGCAAGAAGCTGGATCCCACAGCTGCTTTAGTTGTCCCTTTTATGTGGAGGAAAGTTTCATTTTTAGAACCTGTTGCGGTCTGCAGGATTTCCAAGTACTTCTATGTAAGATACATTGAGGAGACACCTTGTTGCTAAAATCTTACCTGTTAAATAGTGGAGCGGAGCATGGAACAACTGAATCACTCATGATGCATTTTGAATCTATGGTTTTCTTATGCTGAAGAATTTCAAACCTCAGAATCAGGCTGCAGTCTATTCCTTTCAGTATTTTTCTACTTACATGAATAAAGCAAGTTAAATTGTAGGTCTGGACATTGGAATCTCTGGATTTTGAATTCGGACTTGACTTCCTTTTGAATCTAAGTCTTCTGCTTCAGTTTTTCCATCTGAATGTTTTAAGAGTTAATTCCGTCTGTGCTAGATACTTAGGATTTTCTTTCGGTTTTCGACACTGCCAGAGAAAGCACTAATCTTTTCTTGGAGGGAAGCCTTCTAAAATCTTATCTTGTTCCCTTTTCACTTTGGGTGATGGGCATTGTATCAGGAGAAGATATCTTCATGTCCTTAAAGGCAGCTTTTCTCTTTCTTCATCACCTGTGGTATTCTGTCCTGGAATCTGACTCCCATTGCCCCTTTGTAGTCACGGCCTGTTTTGTAGGAATCTTATGCATCTCTTGGTGTAAGATGGGTCATCTTTATAGCCATTACTTTTTATAGTACTCTAGGTAAGGATACATTGCAAAGGTGGCATCAGGACTTTCTCTCTGCTTAAGCACCTGGGCTTCTACTGTTCCTGCTTTGCAATTAATCCACCAACAAACATTTTACCCTGTGCTAGCATGCTTTTAGGGTAGGCCTTCTAATCGTTGTCTTGCCTCAGTTGTCATTGAGAACCTGACTAACTTTGGACCAGATGACAGCCAGTTCCCTTCATGTTGTTCTCCCTGGTCGTTAAGCTTATCTGTCAAATACGCATCCTTGGTAAATCTGTGAGTTTTGTTTCACTGTGTTGTGATTTTCATAGTTTCTTAACTCCCTTATCCTGTCTCATCTGGCCTGTCTTGGGGGCTCGATACTACGAGATGGTGTTTATAAGACAGCCTGCATAGGCAAACCGTGCAGCTAAAGTAATTTTTATCCATCTTATTTTTACTCTTAGGCATTGCGGAATATCAATCCCAGCACAGCAAATTCTCCAAAACATCAGGTAGGCTCTTAACTGATGTTTCAGCATAATTAGAAAAATGAAAGCATTAAATTAGGCTAGCAGGGGAACTTTTTGCTAAATGAAGGCATTTTAAAAAAGAAAAACAAAGTAACCAAGCTCTACCATACACATTTTTGAACCACTTCTCTGGTCACGACCCTAATGTTGTGTTTAAGAGTGCTGCATTGCCACAACTTCATATCAATATTTGAAAGCAAATGAGGAGTTCATTGCACATTTTTCTGCATTGAAAACAACCTTCTTGTTTAGCATTCTTGAGGATATTGCTGTTCCAGTCCTGATGTCATCAAGATGTGTATTTAAAGCAAACCTCCCATTATATCTAAGGTAGTAGTTTGTGACTTAAGTACTGTTCATATGAATGCTCTTATCAGTTTGTTCAAACAGGTATGATCTTAAAGAAGGATATCTGTAATCAGTTAATAAAATGTCACTCAAAATATTTATGATTTTTAAGTGTGTACAGTGTAACAGAATTATTTAATAGATTAGACTAACAAAACAATCGTTATGGGGATATAATATGTAATTATTACATTTTGACATTTAACAGGCTCCTGCACAGATATGTTTTCTGTATAGGAAGCAATAATTCCAAAAAGCCTCTCAAGCTCAGACCAAAAGAAAATTGGTCAAAAATGTGAAGCATAACAAACAGTTTAATGCCGACTTCTTTTAGGCTTTTAAGAAGTTGAATATGGAATGAATCTCTGAAAGGATGGATTTATGGATATATTCAGAGAGCTTCTTGCTTGCTTTTGCTAATGGAATTCTTAATCTCCCAGTTCTTAGGACAATATTTATATTGGCTTGCATTGTACTTTGTTTTTCTAAGAAAAAACACTCTACGCACTAGGCAAGAAAAGCAGAATAAAAGAAAGTATCCTGTGCTTGGAAGCCATGAGTATTGGTGTACTGTTACATTCTGGAGTACCACTAAATTTGTACAGTACTAGTTCTCCTAGGAAGATCGTCTTCAAAATAGGAACCTCAGACCTTAAAAACAGTACTGACACTCTGCAAAAAGTACTTTATTGTTTGGCAATATCAGTGCAGCTGTAAAACTGAAACATTTTAATAGAGATGTGATAGTTTGATTCATTTACAGAGCATTAACCACATGAAGATCTCATTGATCAATATTAGATCCTATTACGGAGGAGAAAAATATCCTTTAAGAAATGTTGATACACAAGGGAATAAACAGAAGCACACTTCTCCATACCAGTTAGAAACACGTTATCTTCTGCCACAATTAGGTCATTCAGAAGAGATGTTTTTCTTACTGAATGCCAAAAATGTATTCTAGGCTTTCTTGTATGCCTGAAGCCCTGTCATACAATAGTTCACTCTTCCACATGAACTTCTCTCTGTTGTCAACTCGGAATTATGCACCAAATGGAGAACTTCGGGGTTGGGAGAACCAAATTTCAGAACTTCTTGAAATTCTGTCTTAAAGCACTAAAAAGCTGCAAAAACTCAAAGGGACCTTGTTGATAATTCATGAAGTGTATATGTAGTGGTCAGTCTGCTTTGTTTGGGATGGGAACTGATGAAAGGATTTACGCAAAAATCAAGACTCCAGTTACATTTAAGCTGGCTTCGTACCAGGCTCACCTATATGCTCACCTGCCTGGGATCAGTTTTATTAGTCTGCACTTGCTAATGAATCAAGTTGTGTTTGAGTGATGGATAGAAAAGTAGGCAATCGTATCAACTTAAAAGATCTGTAATACTAGATTATTCATATTGTATCATCTAAATGCTTTTTTTGTTTCATTTGTCACTTCAGTAATGTAGTGAGCAGCCACATGTGGCAGAAGGTGCTTAGAGAACTGCTTCTGGAAATTGTTCTATAGGTGCTTCTTGAGGCCTTGTACTATAGAAGCAAAGGTTGTCCATCTTCTCCAGTGATGTTGCTATGGAAGTCTCAATCTGTGCATTGTATCAGGTCATAGTCAACCTAGTGAATCTGTGAAAAAATGAATGTTTCTTCAGTCATCTTGTTCTTTTTGACAGATCCTTTCTTTCCTTTGTGAATAAAATTAGTGAAGTTTATAGGAATTATATGCTTTCGTGATGATAAAGCTGTGCTCGGAGGAAGAATAATGGCTTCTTTAGCTAAAGTTTAGGTGTTCTTCTAAGGAATACTGAAAATAAAGTCTTTATATGTTCAGTACTCTTAATTCTGGGAAGAGTAAGTCTATTTTAGAGAGAGATTATCAAGGTCTTCTGTTTGTAAAGAAAACTAGCATTCTTGAAGGTTGCCTCTAATGAAGTATCTCTTTTATATGGATTAACGAAACTCGAGAAATGTTCCTTAACTTTTAACTGGCTCTCTGAGCTTTTCTTAATCGCAGAATCAAATAGATTGGAAGGGACTGGTTGAGGTCATCTAGTCCAGCATCCTGCATCCATCCCAACCTCCTCTTCCTTGTCATTTTTGTCCACGTAACCTGGATACAGTGCCATGGTTGGTCATGTTGGTTTTGGTACTGAGTGAACATTGTGTCCTTGCCAGTTTTTATCTCTCTGCCATGATACTGTAGTATCCTGTAGTGATGCTAACACTCAGTGTTGTGTATGGTGGCCTTGGCACTTAAATACCTCCTGGAAAGATTAAACAATTGCTCAGCTTCATCTTTTGCAGCAAGTACTGTAAAAGACTCTTCTCGTTCGAATGAGGATGTATTGTATTATAATTCTAAAAATGTCTAAGTCAAAGGTATTTGAAGCAAAAATTATAACTTCCATATTTACTGTGTATAAACCAGAGCTATTGATAAATCCAGGGAATTTGAAAACATCAAGCATCTGTCCAGTTACTTACGCTCATCATCATAATCAATTATCTGTGAATACCTTAAAGATGCCTACCTGTCTTGGTTAAGAGATTGAGTGACTTGACTTTCTCTCCATCCCTAGTAGCTCTCCTTCCATTTTCCTTCAGTTAGCATCTGATTGTCTCAGCTAAAGTAGATGTCAGTTAACTTTAGTATAAATCATAAAATTGGCTGGATGTTAGATAACAGATTTCTTGCTTTCCAGTGTACTGTGAAAACAGAGACAAATATTGTTGAGATACCTGTGGCACTATTTTTGGATGTTCTGCAGACTGCATCTTGTGCTAAGACTGGAAGATTTTTTTATTTGTCTGCTGTTAACATTAGGGTATTTGCTAGTAAGATCAGCATCCTGTACAGCCATTTATGTGATGAACGTTCCTCTGTATATGCTTGCTCATTCCGTACCTGCTGCTTGTTTCTAGCACTGAGTGGAGATCCCTGTCTTGAGAAGCAGATACAGCCCTGCTTCCTTGCTGTTCTGCTCAGTTGTGCTTTCCAACTTACCTTTCTGTTACTTCTGTGCTGCTTTGTTGGTAGTTTTGCATACCTGGAACATGCTCTCTGTTCATTGTCTCCATTCTTTTGTCTTTTATATTTTATGAAGTACCTCTCATATTCTCTGTCCTGTTGCCCCAGACTTATTTCTTATCAACTTTTGAGTGACATTTTGGAAATTCCCTTACTCAGTGAAGAATATGCAAAGACATATGGCCAGTCTGTCACTGTTTGCTGAATTACTTGGGTTTGTTTCATGGTTTTTTTCATATTTGTTCTTACTCCATAAAATAAAACCACTTATAGTACTGAATGGTTACTGGGTTTGAAATATTATTTTAGTTTCCTATAATTCCTTTTTTGTTTTTAAGAGTTCATCTTAGTTGGTGCTTGACATGTTTCATCAGCTTAGCTGAGAAGATTTCCAGTAGTCCAGGAAAGTGTTAATTTCTTAGGATCCTCTTACTATTTTTCAATAAAAGATTTTTTTTTTTTCCCAGTCACTTTGTGTGTACACCATGTTACTGTCTGATTTGTGACATTTTATAGAAAGGAAGGAAGACATCATTAAAAACAAGTACAGTCTTGAGTTCTGTATTCTTGAACTTCCATGATGTTAGTGAAGCTGGAAATTTTACTGAGGACTTAGGTTTTGGCCTGGTTTTGGTGGTTTTTTTCCCCTCTTCCCTGTAATATGTCTTTAAATAATAAGATATACTTGTGTTCAAATCTTAGTGGAAATGGTGGGCAATAGTTATTTTAGTTTCTTAGTGAATCCCAAATAGTATTGTCCCTTGAGTTTCATGTGTCCCGTCCCTCTGTGTGTTATCTGAAGCTGGCCAGGTAAACAAGATAAATTACTTATTTTGGTTTCAACAGGGTGTTCATGTTGGGGGGTGGGGTGGTAGTGAAGGTGGATTTTGGTTGTTTTTTGTTGGTGGGACTTTTTTTTAGACAAATACAAGGTACTGAAGCCAACCATTTGGTCTTTGAACATGGCGTTTTTGACCAGTGAAGATACTACTACTGGTATACAGAAACATTTTTGAAAATTACATTTACAAGATGCGAGAAGAAAAGTAGTCGTCACTTGTGGAAAGTTCATAGCTGTATTGCGTCCCTCTGTAGTAATTTGCCTTATTGCTTGATACTTGATAGAGAAAAGGGTCTGTGATATGTCTTATTCTGAAGAAATCCATTATGTGAAAAGTTTTGAGGAGAGCTAGCTGACACAGTAAAAAGTCTTTCCAACATTGCTTTTTTCTCATTTAAAATTTTTGCTTCTGATTGAACTTTTTAAAATCAATAGTCACACATAATGCCTGAAACTTCTCATTTTATTGGAAGTAAATATTATATCCCTCATTTTGTTCTGTTTTACTCACTTTATGGCTCTTTTTACTAGTACTAAGTTTTGCTTTGTCGCTCATTGAGCGACAGCTCTGTGAAATGTTTCTTTTGCACAACGAACAGAAATTGTTACTGATTTCTTACTCTCCCAAATCAGTAACAAAATATTACTGAAGAACTGTCACACAGGTAAGGGAGCTGAGCAGCATGTACGATACTGTAAGTAACTTGAAGATTCCAAGTAGGCAGAAATCAATTTTGTATGTGTTAATCTCCATTTTCATTGAG